GAGTGGGTCTCCCATCCTGCCTGGGGACATTTTTCCAGGCTTCCAAGATGATTTGCTGTCTCTCCTCTGTGGTTAGGAGTGCCTGGAGGAGTTGTTGAAAATCCTCCCAGGTGGGTTGGTGGGTAAGAAGAATAGACTCAATTAAAGCTGTTAGGGCCTGGGGATCCTGAGAAAAAGAGGGGTTATGAGTCTTTCAATTATATAAGTCAGAGGCTGAAAAAGGCCAATACTGGATCTGATCCCCTACACTTCAGAGAGGAAAAACCTGGGCAGTCCATGATCCATCAGAGGGGCCCCCTCTATCTCTCCTCAGGCAAAGTCTGCTAGATGGTGGGGGGGGATTGGTCAGGTTCAGTGGAATCAGGAGAAGGATGAGGTAGTTAGCGATTGACCCATAGTAGAGGTCACAAAAAAGAAGGGGAGAGAGAGAGAGAGAGAGAGAGAGAGAGAGATACAGATGCCATTCCAAACAATAATGACTAGTGGGTGTGCTTGTGGACGAGTACCTATTGTTGCCCAGTTTTTCTTCTGCGGGGGATGTGAATTTATCTGGGATTCACACCTGGGACCCCCTTATCCTTCCACGGGAGTCTTTTAGTAGCGAGCGCCCTGTGGCTCTTACTTGCTCGACCCGTGCCCATGGGGCTTTTCCAGTGGCCAGAGAGTGGGAGGTGGAGAGAGGAAAGGGAGATACAGAAAAGTTGTCCTGTCTCCACCCGTGTGGGCAGTCGGGGTCCACTAAGAGGGCTAGGAGCCTTTGGCTTACATCAGGGAGTGGCCCTGACCAGAAAACCTCAGTTTCTCCTTTGCCTTTAACGGTCCCTTGGGAAGACTTAGACTGAGAATAAAAGTAAAAAGAAGAAAGAAGGGAAAGTTTAAAATAGAAAGTATAGAGAAAAATACAAAACTAGACCTTTTTTTTTTTTTAAGATATTAACACATCATCAGGCACGTACATATATCTCATTAAATCACATTCATGTGGACCGGTCCTTCTTACATCCAGACACACATTTTACTCACTATTTTACTTTCAGGATCCTTAAGCACAAACACAGACAAACACAAAACAAAAATTCTTGCCGCGGCTTCTTGACTCAAAACTGAAAGTACAGACCGGAAGGGGAGTAGCCAAGCTAATCTCCCTTCTTCTCCCGAGGTGAGGAAAGCTACGCTGTCCTCCCCATACCAGACCACTCCGGTCACAAAGATCAGAGTGTTGGAACCAGGGGTCCCTGGGCACATCTGCCACTCCCACTGATTCCCAGAATACAGACTTACAGGTCCTGCACAGGCACAAATATTCAGACGGAACGTTCCCAAAACAAGAAATGACAGACAGACATTAAATCAAGACAAACCACAAGACATCTGTTCTTACCTCCTACTGATCTGAGGAAATGAGTCTGGGGGCAACTGAATCCCGGATGCGCCCCCAAATGTTGGACCCCCAGACTGGGGTACCCAGTGTTCATGGGAGGTCGCACCCCAATAACTCAGTCCTCAAATCAGGAGATGCAACAAGCATGAGGATTTATTGTCATTTTGCAAAATGGACTCCCACCTCACTCGGAGGACAGAAGTCCTAGAAGTGGGAGAGAGAAAGCGGCAGTAACGTCACAAGCGGCGGCTATGTGCCAAGAAGAAAAGCGGCGGCTATGTGCCCAAGCAGAGGTAGGGGGAATTTCTGGGATGATTTCCAGCTTGGGCAAGGAACATGAAAAAGGTCAGCTCAGCTTGTTCTTTAGAATTATTTTTTATTTTTACTTCCTTGTACAGTTTTTCTCAGGCCTGGGGGATTTTAGTTTAAATCCATTATTTTGGAGGGACTTGGGTCCATCATTTGGGGGGACTTGGGTCCATCATCATTAAGACATTTCCATATGTGTATATCATGTGCCTTGGTCCTATTTGCCTCTCTGTTGTCCTTTCTTGTCCTGCTCCCCTGAAGTGGAGGATTCTTTTGAAGACTGTTGCCCTGAACCTATGAAGATCACATTAACACTGTCACTAGAGTCAGGATTCCACTTCAGCTATGCCTGCAACTAAGTGAGCTGGGGAAAAGGCACATGCTCAAAGCTCATGACTCTTTGTAGGCCATTTACATAGCACCCACCTTCTCTTCTGCTTGCATATCATGAGCTTTCCTCAAGTGTGCTCTGTTTGTTACATGAAGCCTGGGTGGGGAAGGGTTTCTAGCCTTTGTCAGATTTGAGGGTACCAGGCTGATCAGGCAACACTCACCCACAACAACCTCTTTCTTAGCAGCTGCAGTCTGAGGATATGACAATCCCGTTACCAAGAGCCTGTCCTTGAGTCTGTAATCAGACTCCTCAGGTATCTGGTCATGACAGAAGTCCAGAATTCTAGAATGATACGTGCATTCTCACGTCTCCAGGTTTACAGATCAGGTTTGTCAGACTCCCTGGAACATCTAAGGGCTACCTATGGTAACACATTATCCTACCTGCGTTATGAGTATACTTTAATCAGAGATGCTCCTCCTCCCCACTTTCCCCATATCCTCAGGGCCACACATTCTTACCCCAGAATCCAACCACCCCCCACCCCACCCCACTTTCTCCAGTTCCTCTTCCCCCACCACACTGGCTACAGTGCCAAAACCTGGGTTCCATCTCAGCTGGACCTTGCCTTACTCTGTGGAATTTACCATTGTCCTGCAGGAGAATGTGGTTCCCAGGGTGACAGGGCACCAGTGTTCTACATGGGACTATGAACATATGGGAAAACCCCCAGAAGATGTTTTCTCTCCTGCTGGTCTGCCTCCTGCCAGCCCTCATCAAAAGAGCTGCCTCCAGTTCTAGCCAGAGCTGCCTGCCCTGCTGGACTATGACCTGCAGGTCCTCTGGGGAAGCCCAGGGCCACCTGCAGAGCTCTCTCAAAGCCTGCACACCTTTTTCTTGGAGGATAACACCTTACTCACGCCCTGGTATCTTGGTGAGGCACAGCCAGGCAGCGATGGAAACACCCTTTCACCTGACTTGATCCTGCCCCCAACTTCCCTCTGTCTCATGTTCTGTCTGCAGATCGAAATCATTTGGAAGAGGAAACAACCACATTCTTCAACTATGTAGACAAGGCCATTAAGAAGCTAAGGGATGGTGAGGAGGACAAATGTAAAGGGTCCTGAGGATTGAGGGTTACTGAGGGTTACTGAGACACAAACTTTACAGCATTCCCCAGAGGCCACTTGGGTAGTGAGCAGGGAAATTTTCTGAAGGGCACAGTGTGTCACTGCACTATCCGGTGGCACAGCCCTGTAATCCCAACACTTAGGAGGGGAAGGTAAGAGGATCATAAGTTCAAGATCATTCTCAGCTACACAATGAATTTGTGAGTTCAAGGCTGGCCTGGGCTACATGAGACCTTGTCTGAAAAGAAAAAAAAAAAGGAGGGATTAGAGAGATGACTCAGTGGGTAAAGCACTTACTGCACAGACATAAGAGTCTTAGTTTGGATCCCTAGATCCCAGGTAAGGCTGGATGTGGTAGCACCCATCTGTAATACCAGTGTTCCCTTAGGGGAGATGGAAAGTAAAGACAAGAAACTCCCCAGTTGCTCACTAGCCCATGTACACAGCCACAAACAAGAGACTCTGCCTCAAAAAATATGATAGAGTGAGAATTGACACCCAAGGTTTTCCTCTAGCCTCCATACACATGCCGTAACATAAACACAATAAAACAGACACACACACACACACACACACACACACACACACCACATATACACACAAAAATTGTTTTAAAAGGAAAGAAAGAAAAGCTAGAGATAAGCCTCAGTCAGTAAAGTGCTTACCTTGCAAGCATAAAGACCTGAGTTCAATCCTCAGAACTCATGTAAAGAAAAGCTATGTTTAGTGGTGTGCGCCTGTAGTCTCAGTACTAGGGAGGCAAAGGCAAGAGAATCTTTGGAGCTCACTGGCCAGTCAGCCTAGCTGAATCAGTGAGTTCCAAACCAGTAAGAGACCTTGTCTCAAAAATAAGGTGGACAGTTCCTGAAGAACGTCTGAGGCTAGCCTCCAAATCTACACTCACATGCACACACACATACAGTTACATATCTGTGCCCCTCAAAAGAAGAAAAAAAAGACTGGTTTTATGCCTCTGAGCATCCTTCCCTTCTCCCATACTCAGATAAGTCAGCACTGCTGGAAGAGATCCATGTTCATAAGGGTCTCCTGGCTGATAGACTGAATGAGAGATCCCAGGTACTGAAGCAGACAGGTAAGAGATGGGTACCTGCCCATTGCCCAGCCATCACCCCTGAGACTGATGGCCTGTAGAGCTCAACTGGCAGTCCTTCCCAGGCTCTCCCCAGGACTCCAGGTCTGCCCACAGGCTGGGTTCCTGCCATGCACCCCTGGTCCCATGTCCTGCTCCCACTCCCCACTGCTCCCAGCTCTGTGTGCATCTCCAGTGCCTCAATTTCTCCACCATCTCCCTTTCCTGGGCAGCCTGCAATGAATCCTATGGTGAGTATGTCTGGAACTGAGCGAGAGGGAGGAATGAGAGACCCTGCCCTGTCTGAGGGAAGGGTGAGAGCCACTGCCCTGCCTGAGGCCCCCGCCCATCTCTCACAGATGTCCTCTCCCCAATGGAAGTCACCTCATATGCCGACTGCCAGATACATTTCCTGTTCTGCAATGACCCTGCCATCTGTCCAGGGCAGTGGTCTTCACCTCTCAGCCAGGAGACCCTTATGAACACGCATCTCTCCCAGCAGTGCTGGCTTACCTGAGTAAAGGAGAAAGGAAGGAAGGATGCTCAATGACATAAAACTAGTCTTTTTTTTTTCCTTTTGTGTGTGCACATGTGTGAGTGTGTGCACAGGCACGTGTGTCACAGTATATGTATGGAGATCAGAGGACAACCTCCAGTGTCAGTACTGGCCTTTCACTTTGTTATAGGCAGCGTACCTTGTTGATCATAGGCTAGCTGACTCACAAGCTTTCAGAGATTCTTCTTTCCTGCCTCTCTTCTCCCCTGTAGGAATGCTGAGATTACAAACACATGGGCTACTGCATCTGGATTTTAAATGGGTTCCGGGGATCAGAACTTGGGTCATCAGGCTTGTATGGCAAGCACTTTACCCATTAAGCCATCTCTCTAGTCCTCTACTTTATTTTGGAGATATTCTCTCACTGGCCTGGATTTCTCCCAATATGTTAGGCTGGCTGGTCAGTGAGCTTCAGGAATCCCCTTGTCCCCACATCCCCAGTGCTGGGACTGTAAGCATGAGTCATCATGCCTGGCTTTTTAAGTTTTTTTTAATGTGGGTTCTGGGAATCAAACTCAGGTCTGCCTCCTACCTCCCAGGAAAGTACTTTACTGACCAAGCCCCTAGCCTCTCCTCAGGCCTCTCACATCTGCCCTGATTACAGCAGCCTTTCCTTACTGGCCTCCCTGCTCCTCCTGGGCATATCTACTCTACTAACAGAAAACACTTTCTCAGAGAGAAACTCTACCCAGGACATACCTGTTCACAACCTTCAGTGCCTCACCCCAGCCTCCAAACACCTGGATCCCCCTTTCACATCCCAGCCAAGAACATACCAACCTACAAGTGGACTGTGATCCTCATCAACGTTTTCATGGTCCTGGCCGTTGCTGGCGTGGGGTGAGTGGCTCCTCCTAGCCGGTGTACCAGATGAAACAACCCACTCCTTGACTGACCTGTCTCCCTCTGTCTTCCTGACCAGATGTTACTCTCTTTGCATCCAGAAGAAGAAAGCAGATGAGGTACTAGGAAATAGACTCCAGTCAGATCCCAGGACTCTGAAGCTAGTATGGTCTAGGGGCCCAGTTCTTGTTCTTGGGGTCATGTGTGTACACAGACATCTGGGGCTGGGACTCGGGACACAGACAAGTAAAGCTCTGGTTCCCACCACAAAATGCCCCTAACCCAGCTGTCACCATCCCACCTCCCCTCTCTCTCTGCCCTACACAGGCCAGTACTGTAGTGGCCTTATCATGGCTGGAGGGAGGCTTTGGCTGGTGGAACTCCAAGCAGGAAGTCAGGGGGACCAGGATCAGGTGAAAGCCCTGTTTCTTCTTGTTTGCAGGAAAGAGAGTCAATTGCTGCCTCCAGCAGAAGAGCAGTCTGAGTGCCAGCTGAAGAAGCAGCCCAAGAAGGTGGAGTCTGAGAGCTAACTCATCTCTGGGCCCAGGTGATTCTCCCTCCCAAGACGTACTCCATCCTGGGACCAGAAGTTTTGAGATTCTGTGGGCTGGTGATCTCTCTCTCTCTCTCTCTCTCTCTCTCTCTCCTCCCTCCCTCCCTCCCTCCCTCCCACACATACCCCTTTGTAAATTGTCCCTTCATTAAAATATTTCTTCCCTGTTATTCTGGAGATTCGGTGTTAGGGGGTGTGATGATGAATCTTAATTGTCAGCTTGACAGCACTTAAAACCACCTAGGAGGCACACCTCTGGGCACACCTGTGAGGGTCAGAGAGAGAAGACCCACCCTGCATGTCGGTGGCACTAACCCACAGCCTAGGGGTCGAGGTGGGGGTGAGGGTTCCAGATTGAACAAAGAGAGGAAAGGGGCACCCACCAGCATACCCAGTTCTGCCTCCTGGTCTTCCAAATGGGCGGAGTTACCATCTTCTCCGGTGGACCATGCTGGCCTGCACTGACAGACTGGGAGCCAAAACAAACCCTTCCTTCCTAGGTAGCTTTTGTCAGGTATTTTGTCACAGACATGAGAAAGTCACTAATCCCACCCCCTGAGGGCCAGCACCACGGAGGCCTGAAATCTAGCCCACTTCACCAGGTATGTTTGGTTTGGAACACAGTTTTTTAATTCCTAACTTTAAAAAAAAATATTTGTACCACTTTTTTTTTTCTTGGTTTTTGAGTTCAGGCCTCACTACACAGCTGGCCTGGAACTCACAATGTAAACCAGGCTGGCCTCAAACTCAGAGATTTGCCTGCCTCTGCCTCTGCCTCTGCCTCTGCCTCTGCCTCTCTGCCTCTGCCTCTGCATGCTGGGATTAAAGGTGTGTGCCACCATGCCCAGCACCATATTTTTATTAATATGTTGTGCAAATGTATGCAGGCAGGAGTGTGCCATGGTGCCAGTGCACAAGTCAGAGGACAACTTGCAGGAGTCAGTTCTCTCCTACCATATGGGTCCCGGGGAACAAAATTAGATGGTCAGGCTTAGTGGCAAGCACCTTTACCCTCTGAGCCATCTCACTGGCCCCCTCAATCCTTAACTCCTAATTCAGATTTCACACTGAAATCTTGATTTTTTTCAACTTTTTTAAAGCACAAAATATAGGGATTTGCTGGGGTCCTGCATATGAGGCTTGAAAGGCAGATGCGGCCCAGGGGTCCTGCCCTGGGACTAGAGTTGCCTCTCTGCTGTCCCTATGCTCTTAGCCTCACTTCTTGACTGGCTGCTAACAGCCGGGTCAGCCCTGTGTTTCATTCCTAACACTGGCACTGGGAAGACAAAAATCTTTTTCCTAACTCCCCAAAAGCCACAAACCCACATACCCCAGGAGCTGGTGTATTTGATTATTATGAAAGATATTTGAGCATTCTCACTAATTTTAAAAAAATCCCATTAATATAAAAAGTAAAACTGCAGCAACTTGGGCTTAATGATATAATTTGGTTTTTATTAGCGACCAGTGAGTTGGGTGGCATTCCATCTATGACACCGGAAGGTGCTCTGCTGAGCTGAGCTGAGAGGAAGTCAAGATTTATTGGCAGGAAAAAAAACTGATGGCAGTACAAACTAAACCGTAGACAGTGGTTGTTTCAAAGTTATTTGTTTTTTATTTTGTTTTTGTTTGATACAGGATCTCTAGGCCAGGCTAGCCTCCAACTCACTATGTAGCAGAGAGTGACCTTGAACTTACGGTCCTCCTACCTCTACCCCCAGTGCTGGGGTTACCTGCATGTGCCACCACACCAAGTTTACACAGTGTTGGGGATCATCCCAGGCCTAAGCAAGCACTCTATCAACTAAGCTACATACCAGCCCTGAAGGTTGCCTTGTTTATAAAGTGGAGGCAGAAGGGACACTGTTTAGCCATGCCATTTCAGCGAGCACTAGTTTCTAGTTCTAGTGTTTGCCTTGAATCTCTTGGGTGTTTTAGAAAAGTGTAAATATAGACTCAAAACTAAAGTTCATCTTGACAGTGTGACACCTGGCAGGAGTCACTCCATTCTGCTTTGGTCTGGACTGTCAGGCTTAGTATCAATCTAAAGCAGTAGCTTCCCACAGTGTTATTTAGCACGGCCTTCCCTGTCCTCATAGTGCATCCTCTCTGGGCCACCAGGAAGCACCATGAAGTCCAAAAGCAATGTCCAAGTGACCAGGCAGACTCTGGACTCCCAGCTCTGAAAGGCCCAAGGAAATTCAGATGGCCATAGTTTATATGTAAATACAGTCATTATGACATAATGAAGGAAATGAGTTCTGAAGAATGCATCATGGGTAATCTCATCACTAAGAGCACAACACAGAGTGTACCTACACACTCTAAGATGGTGCAGTGTTACTAAGTGAGATAGCCTTTCGGACCAGTGTCATATGTATGTATTTTGTCATTGACTTATCATGTTTAGTGACTCAGTGTACCACTTGTGGTGTGAGAGTGAAATGTCTCTCGTAGGCTCAGGTGATTGAACACTTAGTCCCCAGATGGTGACACTGTTTGGAAAGATTGAGAACTTTTGAAGGTAGAGCCTTACTAGAGGAAGTAGGTCACTAGTTCTGGGCCTTATAGCTCAGCCTCACTTCCTGTTCACTCTCTGCTTCCTGGATACAGATGCAGTGTTACTAGCTGGCCTCCTGCTCCTACCTCCAAGAAGGAAAGGCCCTGCCTGCTGCTATGTCTTACCCCATCATGATGGACTGTATCCCCTGGATCTGTGAGCCAGAATAAACCCTTCCTTTTTTAAATTGCTTCTTGTCATGTATTTGGTAACAGCTACAAGAAAAGTAATGAATACAACCCTTAAACAATATAAATTAGATTTACTGTTTTTGAGCAGGAAAGTGCTATCATGTTGTATCTGACTTCCTTTTGGTTAATATTATATTTTGAATATTCTCCTATATTCTTTATGTACCTATGTATCTTTAATTTGTTCATTTTCATCACTATATACTATTCCATTGGATACCTATTTTATGATTTCTGCTGTTGATGGACACTTAAGGTTTTGCCAATTGGGGGTTATTTTCACATTTTTTAAAAAAATGTTTTATTTATTATTTTTATTTTCTTTATGTGTATGAGTGTGTTGCCTGCATGTATGTAAGTGCACCTGTATCATGCAGTACCCACAGAGGTCAGAAGAGGATGTTGGATCCCCTGAAACTGGAGTTACAAACAGTTGTTAGCCACCATGTGGGTGCTGGGAATCAAACAAGGTCCTCTGCAAGAGCAGTCAGTGCTCTGAACCACTGAGCCATCTCTCCAGCCCCTATTTCCACATTTTTAACAAGTATTCTAGTGTACATAGACAAATATTATTGTATGGTATACAGTCACATTCTGCATAATGAGATTTTAATCAACAAAAAATGTATCTAAAGATAGTCCCATAAGAATATCTCACCTAATGATGTTATAGCTGTTGCAGTTTAAGTTCCCCCTGTGATGATCACACAGTGATGAAGTCACTAAAGATGCCTTTCTCAGAACATGTCGACCCTGCTAAGCAGGGCACAACGGTACTGCAGTCAAACTCCTTTCAATCACTGTTTTAATCTTTACATGTATGTGTCTATATATGATGTGAGTGTGTGAATGTATGTGGTCATGGGCACTTATGTGTAGAGGTCAGAGGACAACCTTTGAGAGTCAGTCCTCACCATTCACCTTGTTGGAGAAAAGGTCTCTTGTGGTTCACTGCTGTATAACTAGGCTGCTGGCCGGTGAGCCTCTGGGGACTCTCCTGTCTCCACCTCCCATCTTGCCATAAGAGCACTGGGGTTACAGACTCACAATACCATGTTCAGCTTTATCTGATTCTGGAGATTTGAACTCAGGTCCTCACACTTATGCTGCAAGTGCTTTCTTTACCCACTGCGTCATCTCCTTGGCCTCTTTCCACACTATTTTATATAACTGACTCAGGCATCTGCAGATTTGGGGGTTCATTTGGTCCTAGAACCAAGTATTCATGGAAACCAAGAGATGATCATATACAGATACAAAATGAGAATTCATTTACTTTATTTGTATGCATATATATTTGTTTATATGTGTGCATGTGTTTATGTGTGTACAGGTGCACTTGTGGGGGCTGGGGCACACCTGCTCATGAAGGCAAGATCTGGGATGTTGTTTCTCAGGTGCTGTCTGTCTTGTTTATTAAAATGGGGCCTCTCACTGACCTGGAACTCACCAAATAGGTGAACTAGACTGACTGGCCAGTGAACCTTGGAGAGCCACCTGTCTCCATCTCCCCAGAGTTGAGATTACTAATGTGTATCATATGCCTGGCTTCTTTTTACATGGGCTCTGGAGATTAAGCTCATGCTTGCAAAGCAAACACTTTACCAACTAAACAATTTCTTCAGGCCCAGGTTGGTAAGCCCAGGTACTAACCACATCAGAAAAAGATACTTGGGCTCCTCAGTGAGTGTTCTGCCTGTGTTTCTACAACCAAGATTTGTGTGTGTGTGTGTGTGTGTGTGTGTGTGTGTGTGTGTGTACATGTTTGTATATATGCAGGTGCATGTGTGTGCATATGTGTATGAAGACCAGAGGTCAATCTCAGGTACTTTCCTCAGTTACTATCCACCTTTTATTTTTAAAACAAGGTCTCTCACTTTACCTGGAACTTGCAAATTTAGGTAGACTAGCTGGCCAGTGCATCCCAAGGATCTACCTGTCTGCCTCCCCAAACACTTTAGTCACTGAGACATCTCCCCAGCCCCTACATGTATGCTCTCTGCTTATACATGATCACCCTAATTATGACAAATGGGATCCAATCTCAACTGTGCCAACATCTATACAGATAGAGCTGATGAATACCAGGAGTTTCCTATCACCAAAAGCATCTGCTGTCGTGTCAGCAACTGTTGAGCTCATCTGTGAGGAGTGCCTATGAGGCTCTAGAACAAACATAAGGCCCAATGCTGTTCTTACTTCAGAGAGTTCACTGTCAGGGAGGAA